ATGTGGCTGCTATTTTTTACTTATTTAGCGCCCTATTGTGGCTGCTATTTTTTACTTGTTTAGAGCCCTATTGTGGCTGCTATTTTTTACCTATTTAGCGCCCTATTGTGGCTTCTATTTTTTACTTGTTTAGCGCCCTATTGTGGTTGCTATTTTTTTTACTTGTGTAGCGCCCTATTGTGGCTACTATTTTTTACTTGTTTAGCGCCCTATTGTGACTGCTATTTTTTACTTGTTTAGCGCCCTATTGTGGCTGCTATTTTTTACTTGTTCAGCGCCCTATTGTGGCTGCTATTTTTTTTACTTGTGTAGCGCCCTATTGTGGCTGCTATTTTTTACTTGTTTAGCGCCCTATTGTGGCTGCTATTTTTTACTTGTTTAGCGCCCTATTGTGGCTGCTATTTTTTACTTGTTTAGCGCCCTATTGTGGCTGCTATTTTTTACTTGTTTACTTGTTCTGTATATAATCTTTTCGCAGCACCACAGACGAGGCATAACTGATAAGAAAAACCATGCTCGAAGATTCGTATTTTGTAGAGGAAATGTTAAGGAATGTGGCTATATTTCTGTTCAAATTTTCAACTTGTCGAGGGATACGTTGGAGCGAGGGGCGTTCCTAGTGATCAATTAACGGACACTCAATTATTGGGCTTCTACTGTAATTCACGAATTCACCGTTCTCATAACGTAGAGGGCAGCAAAAAATCTCTGACTGTTTGCACGATCGGTATTTTAGAACATGAGACACAAAGTCCCATAAGATGATAAGTCTATTTTCTATCTCGTCTGTGGTAGGAGATCCTTCTCTCACGTCATTTTTTCCCCTAGCAGCAGCTGAGTTTTCATGACCTGATAACTTTTCGTAATTGAAGCTTGCCTCAATGAACAACAGTTAGTGTGGATTTTTCTGTTCTAGCGACAAATAAATATTAAGCGTATGCAGGTGCGTAAAGATCGTTGTAGTACCATCTTACAATAGGAACAGGATACTAATTGGATAATGGCTTCAGCATTGTTCCGTAGATGGTGCCACAGGTATTAGGGTGGTACCATCATCTTATAGTGAAACTGCGGTACTAATTAATTAGCTGTTTGCAAATTTTACCGCAGATGGCCCCAGTAAAATATTTGACGGCATTTATCATTGCGTGTTAAAAATTTCATTATTATCTAATTAAAGTCATAATGAAAGCAGTGGACTTACATAACAATGGTGAAAGTACATTATGCACCATCGCATATCACGACAGAGTGCAAACGGCCTACACGTTCTAAGATGCAAGAACAGGTGTAAAATCAAGGAAAACGAATATATGAAGATAAAGATTAAAAGTACATCTTTATAAATAGCTAGTATGCTTCAAAATTGTATTTAGTACTTTGTTTAGAAAAAAATTGTGAGGTTTGTTTAATTTTTGAACCGAATTACAGAGTAACCTTCTTAAAAGTGATCTTTTTGTTCTGGTTACACTAAAAGTTGCAACTATATGAAGTATAAAGCTAAAACTACTTTACCTCGTAATTTTAGTTTTTTGTAACTGACAAATATACGAACTATGTACGTATACATATGTATACTTCGTACACAGAACAATGCCAAACCTAGATACACACAAGAAATCGATCATTTAAATGATTTTCATTTGCGTGTGCCTTTAAGCCTATAATTTGCACGTATACGTGGTTTCCAAGGGGAAGGTCCTTGGCCTTAGAGGCGCGAGGGCGTCGAACATTCGTGAATGAATTTCCCTTCGGCAATGACGTCACTGGTTGCCATCAGCCCACCGGGTTCGTCCGTGAGAAAAGCCGCGATCTATCAAGAAGCGCTTGCGCCTTTCGGAGCGAGCCCTGTGCGGCGCTTTCGGGCTTTCCAGAGGAGACTCGGTGGAGGCTCCGGTGCCTTTTCGATCACAGCTCGAGTTTCACTCCGGCGAGACGAGATGCGACCGTGGCACCCGTTCGCGGACCACTTCTTCAGGAAAGTAAAGCGACCATGAGACCGTGAGAACGTTCAAGGAAAGTGAACGTCGCAACAATACGCGGCCGAATCTATCCCGATATATCCTAGTGCGTGGCGGATGTATCGTGATCGAAATTACGAGTAACGTGCGACGGTATTTAAGGGGATACAAAGAGGGTGTCGAACAAGAAAAAGAAGATTCTCGGAGGTTTGGGTTGTGCTTCGATCTGGTGGCTGTTCATGTGGGCGCATTTGACGTGCACGAGGGTACGCTTTCCCTTCGATTGATCGATAACCGTGAATTAGGTCGTCCACGAGTCGCGCCCCGAACAGTGGAAACATACGCATAGAAACCGTCGAGGGCGAAGAGATTCAATTGACTGGTTTGTTCGAGACGGGCACACCGGCCGACGTTGTGCGACGATCATACATGCGTTTGAGCGACGTCGTCGTATATGATGAAATTACAGCTGCTTGTAATCGAAACGGATTACTGCTGGAGAAAAGCGTTGCTTAGGTAAGCTAGCAACATTTTCACCAAGCCGCTTATGCCTTTTACCACTTGTCTGCGATGTTAAGCTTGTTTGCCGATATTCCGTTTAGATGTTAATCCCTTTCGATAGGGTCGGATCAATCCCGAGGTAATCGTGTCATGTTCTTATTTCAGTGGTTTGTGACGCAAATCGTAGACAACAGATAAAAGCACCCAAGTCGCTGAACTATTCGATTACTGGCAACGTATCTGTTAACCCTCATTCTATAGACAAATAGTTTATATATTAATTTATACGTTTACTGTATAGTTATTATTGTTGCTATAAATGTTAGAACGCTTCTGTAGATCAATGATAATAGTTTCTTTAGGAGAAGTACTGAATTTTAAAACGGAGTTTTATATGTAAGAATTTATGTGTTTCAATAGATTCCTTTGAAACGCTTGAATATACCGCCAGAAATACATACATATATACATGCCGATAAAGTTGTCGCTTAACGACCGTCGGTAATACAATTCGTTTAAATGCGACGATCGCCGCTGCGCGCGTATTGCTTCGTCGAATCGGATGGTCTGTGCGAGAAGAAAACGCGGCGATGATTCAGAACGCGTCGGGTTTCTCGGCCTGTCTCTCACGGTTTTCTCGTCTGCGGTCCTCCGGCTGACGCCATCTTCGGTCGTCTTTTTTTGTTTAAGTGTCAACTTTCTGGAACAATATACGCAGGAATACAGTATACAGTGGATCGTGGGGAAAACGTTATGTGTGCGGGTAGTACGCGCGATGGACGAACACTGAACGAACGTCGGGATTGAAATGACAAAGTGAAAACGCGATATGAGTTTGCGTCGTAGATCTAGCCTGCATCCCTGAAAGATTGCGAGCCAAGAAAAAAAGAAGTCGTTAGCCGTCCGAGTGTCCATGTAAAAGTCATTCAGTAGAACTCTTCCCCCCTTTGAAGTATTGTTGGTTAGTTTATGTGTTGTTTGTTAAATGTGTTTTTTTTTGTTTACTATCTTTGCCTTGTTGCACACTCGTGGAACGCATTGTCCCTGACGGTTTAAAGTCGGGCCCTCCACGTTTTGTTGGTTATGTTTCCGTTACGTTCGTCTGCCGTAAATCGCACGCTTCTCTAGCACGTACCGAGTAGTGAGAGACTTAAAGGTTACAGTAGTGCGTGTATGTAGCGAGTAAAATGCACAAGTTAAGATTGCCTGTCAAGGTCGAATTGCCCAGTGCTTTAACAAGGTATGGTGGATATTTGATCTAAATAGAGGTATCGACATTGTTGATCCTTCTATTCGTCTTTTCTGCCAGCGATATTCTTCCGCTGACCGTTACGCTGCTCGTATCCAGATTGTAAACAATCGTGCAGTGACGATGGAACATAGAGAAAACCAGTTCGTTCCTTTTGCGTGTTACAACTGCATGACACGATTTTGTTTCGAATACGCAGTTTGTTCTATTTTCGTCTCCTGCGGTACGTTAAAATAGATAGAGTAATTGTACGTTTTAAATAGAAATACGGCATTATCGCTGTACGATTGTAACAATCTGTAATTTGACGTCACGTGCTTTTAATGCAGAGCATTGCTATTGTTACACACTCATTTGAATTTATTAACATATGTTTTTAACCCCCGATGCAAAAAGGAGGGGTGTTATAAGTTTGATGACTATTTTGAAAGATTAACGATACGAAAGATAAAGTCACTAGATTTTGAGATGTATATTATGCATGGTTTCCTATATCGCGTATGTTAAAGTTAGTCGTCAAGTATGTTTCTCGGGCGATATAATGTATTCATGTATTAGAGTTAACTGAATTGAAGATCTTAACACCGCATTCCTATTATTCCATCTGTCTTGGCTGATAGAGACAAGTTTGTAATTTTCAATGATATAATCTGATCGCGCCTTTGATGTAATGGTATCGGAGTTAATCTTATCTCTAAGTTAAACCAACTACAGTTTTTATTTCCGTGATGACACGAAATATTTTTTTACGTACAAAAGATGTTTCAGAATTCATTTGCATTATTCATTATTGTCGGTAGAAGCTAATATTGGAGGGAATTGTTTGTACTCTTCACACCCTAAAATTTGTACTGAGTTTTATGGAAAAAAGTCACTTGATCGTGTTATAGATCTTCCTTACGATATTAAGTGACTTTAGTAAGTTATTCTACTGAACGAGCGACAACAATAATCTTGCTAATAATATGCATGAAGCATCAAGCTTTTTGCTCAAGGAAAGAAGAGATAATTTTTAACAAATACATACTGTTGTAAGCATTGATTATCAATAATGACGTGGCAACGTGTGTAGTTACACACAGAATACGCCCGGACGAACAGCTGATGATTTGATTATCTTTCTGAGACGTCTTGTTCGAAAACCGATGATTGGTCGTTGACCGCCATAAAGCTAATTCAGCCAATCGATTTGAATTGTATTATTGACACTATCGTAAATGAAATACGAGAGAAAACAAGCCGAGAAAGAAATGTATAAACAGTGTGTACATTTGCAGCCAGTCCGACAATGAGATTTTGCCAAACTGATATTTCAGACTGGTTTGAAGCCTTTTTGCGTTAAAGTATAAATTACATATAAGCAGATCTTGTTGCCGTTCTATCCTATAGGTCTTCATCTTGGAAAGAATTAAAAGAAAAAACTTTCGAGATTATACATTTTTATGTGTTCATAACAATGGCATCAGCCGAACGAGTTAAAACGTATGTTAGCCGTTCCGAAGCCAAACTAATCAAGTCCAAGCTAAATAACAATTATGTGGCTCATTATGCAACAGATACATACTACACCAACATCTAAAACATTGAAAAAGAATAGGAATGTACCAAAGTTACGAAGTTCTTAAAAAATGAAATTTATTAGCCTGACTTCTGGCCGGCTTATATCTGCAATGCAAAGGTCGTAGAGTTCAAGTCCTTGCGTTACACACATACTTTCTCTTGCGTCATGAATATTTTCTTCCAATGAAACTATTGAGATTCTAAGCTAAAGGAACATCTTAAAAATCCCAAGGTTTGTCCGTGTACAAAAAAGTACCTATGTATGCACCACATTCACACTGTTATTGTAGGAAAGGTTTCGTCCAAAATCTGTGATCGCGCGACCGCGGTGTACCCGCGACAATTCCGTTATTGTGACGACGTTCGGCCTGAGCGAATGCTTGTTCTTCTCTATTAATTGAGCTGCCGTCGTTGAGACGTTCACGCCGCCATTCTTATGGAAAGCAGCTGACCTTGGCAGTCATAAAGCCTAATGCGAGTTGCAGGGCCTTACACGTCTCTGTCTTAACGCTCCTACCCATCCCAGTTACTCGTTTCTCGCGATACGTCGAACCTTTCGAGTTACAGTTTCGCCGCGGGCTTCGTCGGGCTAGGCACCAGGCGCTCTCACGCGGTCCCTCGCGTTTTGAAAACGGAGTCGCATAAAACGCGATCTGCGATTATTGTTTCACGTGAGTTCAAGATCTGACTAGAGTGCATTTATAGCAACGCAGTAAAATAATTTACAATTAATAACAATTTGAACGCGCGGCATATTTTGTGACATGTCGGGGACACAACGTTCAGGGGCGAATTGTGCCTAAACGGTGGCAATGAAAAGAAGTCATGGGAACGTCCATCTTAGCTGACCGAGTTGTAGAAATTTATTACTATCCTGGTGCAAACTGTGTGTAAAAAGTGGAGTGCAACGCGATTGAATACGGTTCACTTACAAATTAACCGAGTTGTTCTCTCAACACTGTCGTTACCTTCATTATTTTGTTGTAAACGCGAGGTTTAAACAAGGACATTGACTATACGCGATGTGTGTCATGTCAAGTAAATCATGCTTCGCTGTCATATTATTCCGTTTTGTTTTTTGCTATTGAAACTTTGACAAAACATCATGGAACTTCGTTCTTCCGGAAGTGAAAATCACACCCCATCCACAGTGGAATCGTGTATCCATATTTGCATGCCTGATTCTTCCGGCATTTCGGAATGCTCATGTACTTTAACTCGATTAAATTCCTAGGGTATACCCGTGTGAATAATAATCGGTTCAAGTTGTGTGGAAAACATCTGTGCCGGTGAATCACAAAGTAAAATAATACACCAAGTCGGTTTACATTCGTTCCTGCTATAAGTAAACGCCGGTACAACCACGTAAAGTTCGTATAGGTACATGATACGGCTTCCGGTAATAAGAGTTCATCGACATGCTCAATGAACCAGGTATTCAGTGTCCCAACATACTCGAAAACATTGATATTCCTGTAAATGCAAAGTCGTACGGTTACAACCCTTTTGCACGGCTAACGATTTTTCTCTAATTCAGCCATTACGGGGTGGGGGCGTGTTCGTCGCGATGGAAATTTGATGGAAAATGATGGGAATTTCACCGAAGCCCCGACATTGTCGTGTGCCGCCCGTTCTACGGAGCCCTAGTGATCGATCGTTTCGCGGTCGTCGTCGTCTGCTGCGAAGGGCGACGAGGTGTATACATATACGACCGAGATCTCCCCCTGAACCACCTGTGTGTGCCATCGAGTACACGCTAGCGAGCTAGCGCGCGCGCAGACATTTCCTCGCTGTTCTCTTGGAGTACACGTGCACCGGAGTGCTGAGAACACAGCGCGGGCTATTCGACTCGACTCCACCAGCCACTCACCTACGTTACGCTTTCGCGGTGGTATTTTTGGCGTCGTACCTCTCACGAGACCTTGCACGGTCGATTCGACCTCCTGCTTGATCAGTGTAAATCAAAATCGTGCCGGGTGGAGATACTCGAGTCTGGATCGCGCGTAAAATGGACCGGTCCTAAAAGCCTCTGGTCCGCGGATCACCAAGTAGTCCCCCCCTCCCCCATTAGTGTTAATCCCAGTGTCGAACATTCCCTTGACCATGTCATCGATATGCACTTCCGGATGCCGAGTATTTAGCGAAACCTTCGAACGTGATGGAGACGCAATTGCGCTACCGTGCATAAGTGTTTGGGTATTTTGTGGCGTCTGATCCGGGGAACCTTTTTCATCAGAATGTCGATATCTAATATGATTAACGTTCGATATTATCGTCATAATCGTAGAACCGAGACATGTTATTCTGTGGTTTGATGTGGTCCTTTTTTCTGTTTTATCTGATACCTACTCATCTTGGAGGAGTATTTTTTAATAGTCATATCCTTATTGCTGTTACTCCGATAGGGTATATTCCGTTCTTATAAAGTTTTAGTATAGTTTCTGGTGTCGTTTTACGCCTACTTCGTAAGCGTTTCGATGTTATGAGCATCAACACCTATGGTTTTCCTCTAATTCGATAGCTGCATATTGCATTAAAGAGTTCGAGATATTTGCTTTGGTGGCAGTTCGCCGTTCTTCTGTTAACGTTATAATTAGACTGCCGCTTTTATGCGTATATAGTAGAGGTAAATGTTTCAGGGACGATGATGTGAAATTTTTAGCAAATCTTTATGGTCTGCGGTCTGTTTATAATAGAAACACGTTTTTATAGTGCCTAGCCATATTCTTCTACACAGAACTATGATGAGATCCATTAATCCAATACAATGCAAGAAACTATTTGCATCCATTTTGTCCCATATGTTTTGGTAGTTAATATAAACTTATTAAGATCATTGGGAAAAGACATGTTTCATTTATCCCAAGACTCGAAACAAAAGCAAATATGACACAAAGACACATGACGTCATTCATCTCGACCATTTTAGAGAATCAGCCTTCATTTAATTTCGATTATTGCTTTTTTATTCATCCCAACCAATGTTAAATATCATTTTTGTCATTCTGTACTGGCTGTATCAGATAGAAATAATAGAGGTAGTTACATCAAAGTCGTTTATTTGCGACATATTTCACGTTTCCTCGAGTTGTAAGTGTCCAAACACTTATAAACGGTAGTGCACACTATTCGGCCAGGTTTTTCGACGGTCG